AAGGAATGTCGAACAGCGGTATACTACTGTTGCCTTCATATATATCGTATGTCAGTATATAAGACTGTTACACCAAAAATGTTTAAAACAAAAAGAAAGACACATAGTTGATCGGAAGGACTGTTAAGTATTTACTGGAATATCGAACAATTGTTGGAATGTCACACTTTAAAAGTCAACACATGCATTTTGGATTAAAATGGCTAGCTTATTGATATTTCCCAAACCTCTTTGTACGATTTTTTACAACAGCTTAGTTCTCATCAAAGTTATATTGTCCAAACCTATGACAAACAACTGGTATATGCGTTGAAGGTTTGTGAATATGAAACATGTTTAATGAGAAGACAAAGACTATCTTTTATTTTCAAATGAGGGATAGGTGTGTGGATAATAGAACAGTCCTACGTTTTGATTTTGTTATAACCAGGGACCGCAATTAAAACACTATTATAAAGCAGGAGGTATGATTAGAGCCATGACGTGGTCCCTGCGATTGCTAAAACAGTAAAACTCCTCAATCCTTCAAAATTGTGTTCCTTTAATGAAAAATGAATCGGATGATATATATAATCCTGACACTTTAGGGTAACAATGTCATTTGTGGTGTAACAATGATGTCATGAACATGTCAGAATTGATCAACTCGCACTAAAACTGCTATTTTACAGTTACTTTTTTGTCAGGAGGGGGAGTGTTACAAAATATGTTCCTTAATCAAATTACATTTTACCAAAATAAGATGTTTGTTTATGACATCTTGTAGCATACTATCTTTTTGTTTTAAGGTCCTGTCTAATATTTTACATTAATGACAAGGTCTTAAATGACGCCATGTTTAAGTTTTTCGATCTTCATCGAATGCAACTACTTAAACATGTTTAAAACCCTAAAAACAAAAGTGTAAGAGAAAATGCAAACAATGAATACTGATGTTTGACAAACTGCTATCTTGGGAACTGATGTTCATTCAGTAACTCTTTGTCTTAATTTATTTCTTTAATATATGTATATAGTGTGATGGAGCAGGATCTGCTTACTCTTCCAGAACACCTGATCATGAGATTCCACCGGTTTTTCATAGGGTTCGTGTTTTGTGTACTGTTGTTTGTCTGTTGGTCTTTTTTCTTTTTTAGCCATGGCGTTGTTAGTTTATTTTTGGCTTATAACATGTATAAGTCATTTTGACAACTCTATGGTTCTTTTTTTTTCGTGTTAAATCACATCTTCCAATTGTAAGACATCTCTTTGAAAATATATCGCAACAATATTCCGAAAGAAATAGACTCCTTTGTAATTGAATATACACCCATTCGCGTTTATTGTTTCAATATATGAAACAGTTGGTAAGTTTGTTTCAGATTTCGCTAAAATTACAATGGTAATATGTAATTTTTTCTTTATATGATATCCTTCATTTTCAGTTGAGGGAACTGAACCAGCAGTTGAAATATCATATGAAGAAGTAGCCCGTCATTCATTATTTAGAACAACTCTTTATGCCATTAAATGCTCGGTAACAGATATGCCTGTTAATTCCGACGTACGTCTTGGTATATATATATAATTTTGATATAAAATGATAATATTACACATTATTGTATTGATTGAAGATAAGGATATTTGAATAAGAATCATACAGTTTTGAAATTACTCTGCACTTGTGACGGCTCTAGCTATGTAACTATGGTAATCATGGTAATTGGTTGAAACATAAAACATAAAATAACTTGAAATATGAAAAAGAAAATAGAATACACAATTTCAACATATTGTAAATAATTAGATAAAAATGCAATTGGCAGCCAATATATCGGTTTTTCATGTATAGTAAACCAAAAAACTTAAAGGTGCCATTAATAATTCACGCTGTTTAGGTAAAACACGTATACTAATATAGGCGTTCTAGATTATATCAGGAGTATTTCAAAAGGTCCTCGTACAGTTTGAAGCGACATACAGGCAACCATTCAAATATACGAAAAAAACTAACTTTTCAACAAAAAAGATTTTGAATTCTTACTATTTATTTTTTAAATTATAATTATAATAATGTTTCAAAAAATAGAATAATAAATTAGAGAAGCAATAGAATTGTTTTTCTTTGTTGTTTTTGGAATATGATCATTGTGTACAAAAAATTTACATGATTTAAGACCAAAAGCAGGGTTACCTAATTAGAATCATCAACAGGTTTGAACTTACATGAGCAACACGACTGATGCCACTTGTGGAGCAGGATCTGCTTACTCTTCCAAAGCCCCTGAGATCACCGCAGTTTTTGTAGTTGTTCGTGTTTCTCAGTCTTGTTTTCAAAGTTGTGTTTTGTGTACTGTTGTTTGTATTATGGTCGTTTTTCGTGTTTTGCTACAGCTTTATCAGTTTGTTTTCGACTTATGAGTTTGAATAACCCTTTGGTATCGTTCGATTCTTTGTTAATTCATTATAATAAATGTAAACAGCACACTACCATCAAATGGATAATGTTTAAGTTTGGTCATATCAATATGATAATAAAACATGATAATTGATCGCAATTTGGATTGATAGCTCTTTGTAAAACGTAATTTTTTAAAGTCCGATAATGAGTCTTAAATTGTTATTTCGTTCCAACCAGATATATCACACTTGTGCAATATGAACAATAGTTAAAAGTTAAATTTAAACCGATACCAGGCTTATAATAAAGTACATCATACACGCGTTTCGTCAGCATTAGAATCAGCAGTGACAATTGAAACAAAGCAGTTTGAAGGCTTCATCAGTTCATATAAAATAATATTGTTGATTCAAGTTAATGCCTTCAGAATGACATTCTTAAATGGGTAATACTATACCAATTTATCTTTACTATATATCTTCTACACCTAATTTTTATTGCAGTTATGGCTTTCGATGATTCCTTCAGCCGGCGGGTATGTCGAATGTAAGATAGAGCAAGTTTTTTTTTAAAAGGGAGAAAAGATGCTAAGTGTAGTTTCAAAAATCATCAGTCAAAGACATCAGGCAAATCCATGGAAACAAAACCTGAGCAGACAAACAACAGTTCACAAAACACTTTACAAACACATAAAGAATAAGCAAAGTTAACACGATCCACACAAAAACAGTTCTGAAAATTTCTATTTCTTTGATACTAAATTAAGTAATTAATCCTCCGAATATTTGTTTAATAATAAGTAAAAAGTAAAATAACAAAACTACCGAACTCCAAGCTTAATTCAAATCGGAAAATTCATTATCAAATGGCAAAATCAAAAGCTCAAGCACATCAAACGAATGGAAAACAACTGTCATATTCCTGATTTGGTACAGGCAATTCCTTATATAAAAAATGGTGGATTAAACCTTGTTTTTATAGCTACATGTAGCTAAATCTCCCACTTGTATGACAGTCCCATCAATTCCATTATATTGACAACAATTTGTGAACAAAACAAACAGACATAACAGGTAAAAATGTCAAAAACAGGGCAGTCAACATTGTGTTATAATCTTAATCACTATAAAAACAAACAAATATGTCAACAAAGGAAAACAAAATGGCATATAGACACAGCACATGAGCACAAATAAAAGACAAGCATACAAAAAATGACCACAGCACAACAACACAATGGTGAGATGCATAATTACCGAGCCTCGCCAAAAGGGTATTACCAAAAAATTAACAAATATGAATAAGAAGATGATAAATTTTACTCAACCTTCATGCGCACTTGATTGATATGTAAACCCCGCTTTATACTTACAAACTTTACATTAAGTATACTACACGTCGAGTTTTTCACATTATAAAAATGTCTTCTAATTAACTGTTATAACTGTAATACAAACTTGTATTTTTTATATTTCTAGCCTGACAACTCTTGGGGTTGTGAGTCGCAATATCCGCTTAATACTTACAAACTTTACATTAAGTTCTCTAAACATGAGTTTTCACATTCTTTCCGATTTATGCACAAAACAATAAACGAAAAAACAAATATGAGATACAGCTGCTGCAACAAACGACAAGCACAGAATTACATACCATGACTTGGGACAGTCATATACATAATTTGGCGGGTTTAAACATGTTTGCCAAACCCTCCTCCTAACCTTGAACAGTGTAGTAACAGTACGACATAAGAGCAAGCTATAAAAATCAATTGAAAAGGGCTTAACTCCTCAGATCGATACTAACAATAACAAAAAAGATACATAGTACAAATGTGAGAGTACTCGCAGTTTCTGAAAGCTAATTCAAAGCCATTAGCAACTTATAAAAACTCATGTATCTAAGACTAAAATATCTACATTAAATTTTACGGACTCGGTAAACAACATCACCGTAAAAATAGAATGTGCTATCTCGCTTCTACAGGTACAGCCTAACTTCCAAAACCAAATCTTTGTATCTATGGAAGAATTTAGTAAAAGGTTAAAGTAATTTGTAGTAACGAAATCCTTGATTCAATAATTTACCAGTAATACATAGATTAGTTCATTGAAATCAAAAATATCACTGCAGACACAGACATAGCGAAGGGGTTGTGAAATATAAACACTGTAAGATTATCCACAATACACGTAATGATATTTAGTAGAGACCAGCATACAGTTTATTGTGTTTTATAACTTACTATTTAAAATCGGTGGTTAAATCGAGCAAATGTCATTGAGTAGAAATTCCTTTATAGTTTTAGTTCCAAATGGAAGATCTATTCTGACATATTGTTTCAACTTGGACAAAATATTACAGTGTTTGTTGACGGAATACAGGGTATCAATATTTGTTTCAACAGAAATAGCTATTACAATGTATATCATTGTTTTTAACAAAGTTTCCAGAGAAATTTCTGTTTGGATAAACAATTATACGTTGACAAAGGCTTAAATATTAAAACAAGTAAAAACGAAATATATTTTTGGTTCTCATTACTGTCAATACTAACCTTTTTACGCACAACCTTTAGAGAAATTTATTTTAAAAAGACTAATATATTTTGCAGCTATGTCCGAAATACAAGATCTGATATATGATCGTGCATACACATTTAATTATGATAGGCGACTATTTTTGAATGATGGTGCTGCACTTCAGTTGCAATGTATGGCTTCCGGTGTTCCAGAACCAAAAATTGTATGGAAAAAGACAGGGAATGACAACTATGTATCTGAGGTGAATGCCAACTGTTCATTTAGACACTATATTGTTTTTATTTTACTTTCAAAATACCCAATGCCATGAAAAATCATTTGCGGACCTAATAGTTTTTTTTTTAGTATATCATGCATACACGCTCGACGTGAATATTAAAATGTCGCAGCCAATCAATTATACATCAAAATTAACCTTGTTCCATTTTCGGGTGCTTTTTAACAGATTTTTCTTTATTATTTCCCTCATTATTATTATAGCTACAATTTATTTCTTCTTCCTGTATTTTTCTATTGAATAACAAAGACATTACGTGACAAACAATCCAGTAATGATATGTATATTTCTTATTGTCCTCATGGAACGTTGGTGGTAAATTGAGAAAATCTCTTCGGATGCATCAGATTTATCAAGCGTTATTTCTATCGCTGTGTCGATACCGCTTTAATATTATTCTAAAAAATTCAAATTGTTTTATTTTAATTTTTGGTATTCAATCTTTTATTTACTGCTGAATGTTGTTAGGAAATCATGATTATAAAATTTATCTAACTTGCATCGTTTATCTGCGTACTTCAAATATGAGTGTTACATTTGCGTACTTGTAGATTTCCTTGGTTTAAATCATTATCAAGACAAATGCATTGGATGTACTATGCACTATTTTTTGTACAACTGAATATGTTTGATGCATATTGATTTAAAAATGTGCAAATACTATAGCATAGAAAGCTAATTAAAAGCTCTTTCCATTCGTCTATTTTCGACGTATTCCTGATATACCTCAGCCTCATACGTTTTCAAAACTTTGCTTGAGATCTTATATCTGTATTATAAAAAGCTTCTGTCAAAAATTCATAATAGATAACCCCAAACAGTGTGCAAGTTAACTGCAAAAATACACTAAACTCATTGATCTGTAAAAAATAAAGAAAACAGAAAACAAATAGTTTCACAATTTGGCTCCTTTGATCATGCTGTTCAAGATTCTTAAAATCAGATGAATGTTTGGCATAGTCTTTGGTGAATAACAATAAAAGAAAATTGACCACACACTGAACCTAAATGTTGATGATGCCGACGGGATGTAGGATTGATATGTCTCGCTTTCGCTTTTATCAAAGAATACTAGTAGTTACTATATATAAGCTAAGTGTATTATATTTGCCTTACTTGGTATCTTGCCTATGATTACTCTTATATCGGTCGTTGTACGTAAAAATGTATTTTGTCAAAATAATGAACAGTACAGGAAAAAATATTTTCTTGTGCATTTCCAAAAGTCAACATCGATTCAGAATTAAAGTTAACTAAAACACAAATATTTTAGTCGTGTTTGAAACTGTAAATGAGTTAATCCAAATGAATCCCCTATCAAGCTAAGAAGCAAGACAAATACAAGCGTTCAGATAAAAACATTTCATTTATCTCAATAAAGGAAGACAGAAATTAAGGATAAATTTTTAACTGTATGATTCAGGGTTCTGTTTTGGATGTGCCATCAGTGACCAAATCTGATAGTGGGTTTTATTTTTGTGAAGCTGACAATGGTATAGGCGATCCAGTGATAAGTACAGAATTAGAAGTTAAGGTATTGGAATTCTTTCCACCAAAAATGAAGTATACTTCGGAACCAGTTATAACAATAACAGAAGAATTAAACCATTACTGGACGAAAGTGGTTACCGAAATGGAGGTCTTGGTTAATGGTAAATTAATAGTATATGGCATATAATAAACCACAAATGAAACACACAAGCACTGAGGGGGGTCTGGTCTTTGTAGTTCATCTTTCACTAGCCTGTAAACACTGAGGTTGTAAGTTCGAACCCCGCTCGTGGCAGCTGCTTTTGACTCCTATCTTAATTGACTAGGATTGTCAGTTTTCCTACCGTAGATCGGTGTTTCTCTCCGGGAACTCCGGCTTCCTCCACCACTTCCACCGGGATATAGCTAAGCGTGCTGAAAGTTGCGTAAAAAAACAACAATTAATCGATCAGTCCTCTTTTTTGAGATGCATTTTCTTACAGTTGCGTAATAACAATCAATATACTGAAATGTTCTCAATCAACTAACAATTAATTTACAGTAAACGATTAAATGTTTTTTTTTTCTGGTTTTATTTTGTTGCTTAGATCCTGTCTTCCTAAGGTATATCCCACATTTCATTTTATTCAAAGTTGATAGTTATCAAAGGTACCAGGCTTATGATTTGATACGCCAGACGCGTAAATTATTTCAGTTTTACGCACAAGTAGAGTAAGCCTGGTGATTTGATGAGTTTCAAAAAGTTTTATATGCATTTCTGGTATGCGGGGTGGCGGGTTTCTTTTTTCGGGGGGAAAAGGGGGGGGATATGGGGGGGGGGGGGGGGTAATCAGGGGTTCTTTGTGTTCGGCATGATTTCATTTCAACTTTGTTGGAAATTCCAGGATTATAAATTATGAAAGTACATACACGAACAGCCACTAATTGAAACGAAATGGTTACGATTATTTTTTAAGTTATATAGATAAACCAATGATTAAACAAGAGGCTGTCAGAGTGACAGCAAACCGGATTTTCCTGCAGAGGTCGAACCCTGAATAGTTGAGCAAGTATGGACACTACATTTAAGCTTAAAACAGCTCTGAATTTGGATTGTGATTGAATATTTGACACAGCACAGGTTTGTGACACAAAATGAATGTGATTAAAGAACTGAAACATTTGAAATTGGACATTTACCTATTAGGGTCCAATATCCAAAATCTAAGTACATTTTAGAATCAGCATATCAAAGAACCCTAAGAATTCAATATTTGATGAAATCAGACAAAAGTTTAATTTAGGACCCTTTGGACCTCAATGTGGACCAATTTGATAAAGGAGCCCACAATCCAAAATCTCACAATACATGGTTAGATTCAGCATTTCAAAGAACCCCATAATTCAATTTTTGTTGAATCAAACAAAGTTTAATTTTGGACCCTGATTTGGACCAACTTGAAAACTGGGCCCAAAAATCTAATATTTAAATACAGGTTTAGATTCAGCATTTGAAAGAACCCTACATATATTTAATTTATGTTGAAATGAAACACAGGTTAATTTTATCTATTATTTTCTGTGCAAAGGGAAATATCTCAAACTGGATAAATAGTTCTCTAAAAAAAGATATGATGCAATTTTTCAAATCATAATCAATAATATAATAACAACAACCAGTGATGACTAAGTTCTCTAAAATTATATATGATTTAACACTCAAACATTGTTAGAATCAGCATATCAAAGAACCAAGGAATTCAATTTTTGATGAAATTAAACAAAAGTTTAATTTAGGACCCTTTGGACCTCAATCTTATTTATAATGAAAAGAAATACAGGTTTAGATTAAGCATTTCAAATACCCTATATATATTTAATTTATGTTGAAATCAAACAGTTTAATTTTGGAGCCCGATTTGGACTAACTTGAAAACTGGGCCCATAATCAGAAATCTAAATATATGTTTATTAATAGACAATAAAAGCTTAGTTTTTAAAGGAGTTAACTTCATCAAAAAAAAAATATAGCATTCAGAAAATTAGTTTTTACAGAATAACAAACAAACTTGCCACAAAATTCTTCAAACAATTTACCAAAGAAAAGAAGAAAAAATCCAAAATTTTATTTATCATTAATACAATGTCTTTTCAAAATCTATAAAACTTATGAGTAACAAGAAATAATTGTAACAGGATGCTGTTACGAAGAGGATGCTGTTACGTCTCCCAAACAAAGCTCCAATAATTCGTCATTCCCATAGTCGCCTGACATTGGGCAAAGTCCAGTACAAATTGGTTTGTGATATGCATAAATGACGCCTATGGATTGACCCTGTATGTCATTCAAATCTTCTTGAAATGACAAACAGGAATATATATGGTTTAGTGGTAGAGATCTCGACCGTTAACAAGTTCTCAAAAGGGGGGGGTGATCCCCAGGGGACTCGCCCTATATTTCATTTTTTTTATGTCCTATACAAGAATATATATGGTTTAGGGGTGGGGATCTCGACCGTTTACAAGTTATTAAACAGGAGGGGGTGGGGGTGACCCAAGGGGACTCGCCTTTTATTTCATTTGATTTGTTTTATTCCCCCATACAAGAATATATACATGGTTTTGGGGTGGGGATCTTGACCATTTACAAGTTCATAAACAGGAGGGGGTGGGGGTGACCCAAGGGGACTCGCCTTTTATTTCATTTGATTTGTTTTATTGTCTCATACAAGAATATATATAGTTTCTGGGTGGGGATCTTGACCGTTAACAAGTTTTCAAAAAGAAGGGGTGTAGGGGTTACCCCAGGGGAGTTCCCCTAAATTTCATTTGATTTGTTTTATTGTCCCATTCAAGAATATATATGGTTTAGGGGTGGGGATCTCGACCGTTTACAAGTTTTCAAAAAAAAGGGGGTGGGGGTTACCCCGTGGACTTCCCCTATATTTCATTTGATTTGTTTTATTGTCCCATACAAGAATATATATGGATTAGGGGTGGGGATCTCGACCGATTACAAGTTCTCAAACAGGAGGGGGTGGGGGTAACCCCGGGGACTCGCCTTTGATTTCATTTGATTTGTTTTATTGTCCCATACAAGAATATATATGGTTTCAGGGTGGGGATCTTGACCGTTTACCAATTTTCAAAAAGAAGGGGGGGTGGGGGTGAAATCGGGAACTCCCCCAATATATCATTTGATTTGTTTTATTGTCCCATACAGGAATATATATGGTTTAGGGGTGGGGATCTAGACCGTTTACAAGATAAAAGCACATTCTCAAATTGAACGGAATGGGGGTAAGATTATATATGGTTTAGGGAGACTTAATTATCTACAAAATGTCATATAATGAACAGTAAATTTCAAACTTCATTTATACAGTCCTACTAGTAAATTTAAAATTTTATACATACAGTCCTACAGATCAGGAAACAGAAAATTTTCAAATAAATCTGTCACTCCAATGATTATCATATGCTAAGATATTTCCCAGATCTAATTAATAATGAAAATCATACTGAAAATGTCTAATAATATAGCTTATAATCTTCACCACTTAGGAAATAGAAAATTTTAAAATAAATCTGTCACTCCAATTTTTATTGTGAGATAAGACATTTACCATACGCTAAGTCATAATATGATAACAAGAGAAAAATATTTAAAAATACCACTTTTGGATATTAAAAAAGGCGATTACTCAAAAAGGAGAAATACTAAAATCATGAAAATTGAACTTGACCTTCATTTAGTCACAAGAAACAACATATCTAAATTTGAAAAAAATCATCACAGCGTTTTCATGTTATTGAAGAGACACTGTTTGGCAGCCGCCCGACAGCCCGCCCGCCCGCCGTACATCCCCAAATCAATAACCGATATTTTCTTCGAAAATCCGGTTAAAAATTGACAAATGTATAATAAACATCCCACAGTAAGCCTCTGAATATAAATTTTTAAGATGCCTTTATTTCGTGGATGGTTAAGACCCTGCGTATTAACGTCCGTTTACTTGGACTTTTGTCAGGTTACTGTCTCAATGACAAAGAACCAGAATGTCTTGTTGTGTATATCATCTAGCCATTTTATTTATTAATCAAATTGGTCATTTGGTAAACATCGGTGCGACAGCAATCATACAACACAAATTAACTACTGTAACTAAAAGGAGACGTGGGGCTAATCTCCATACGACCGAAACCCCAGATATCTAGAAATCAGCATATGATCTTCAACAATAGATAGGTGTCTATTGAAAATAAGCATGCAAATTGTGATTAGATTCAAACTATAGTCATTTAGATATCATATAACCTCTAGTTTCTGTATATGTATCCAATAATTATTTCTTTGTAGGTCTACCTCCCCCAACCGTCACATGGTGGAAGGAGACTGAAAGCGGAAGAGAGCGGATTATGCGAGAAAGTACTTCTAATCATCGTAATCTAATTTATGAGGGTTTTTTCTCTTATCCTGAGACCGAGACAGATCACAAGCTGATAATAGAAGGCCTCAAGGAGTTCCAGCTAGGCACCTATGTTGCTAAGGCAGAAAATAGTCTTGGTGTTGCTGAATTAAATTTTACAATAAATGGTAAGATTAAATATAAATGGATAATAATTGAAATTGAAGCGTTAGGAATTTTATTCAGTAGTCAGCATCTTTTGTAAGGAGATAACAGTTTATTTATATGTTTATTTTCTGTAAATTTACTGTTTATAAAATGTTAAAACATTCGAAATACTAAAGTTTTATCTACTCCCAAGCATAGATTAACTTAGCCTTTCTGGCACAACTTTAAGGGATTTTGTTTTCTATGCCCTTCAACTTTGTATTTGATTTGACCTTCCAACTGTTTTGATTCGAGCGCAGCTGATGAATCTTATGTAAACGAAACGCACAACTTGCGTACCAAATAATAAACCCGAAATCTTTGATGAGTTTTGTTTTATCATTGAATAAAAACGACGTTTATCTTTTAAAAAGATAGTGCTATCATATTTATCAATACTTTTTTTTTTTTTTTTAGCTGCTGGGACTGTAATACAGAGATAAGAGTATGGACATGCACCTTATCACATGTAAATAAAATAAATAAACATTACTCCAGATGGATAAATGATTCATAATTTGCCATAGTTCGATTTTTTTCTTTTTATTTGACCTAAGTACCCTATGTCCAATATCATTGATATTTCATGTCCCTTTCGATTGGTGACATGTTTTAACTTGAAATAAACATTTTTAAAAAGTGTATTTGGTAAATCTTATCTAGCTAATTCTATAAAAAAAAATTGCGGACAGATATTTCATTGAAAAAGTACATTTATTTCATAGAAAAACAAAGGATACGGGGTATCCATCCATGACACAAAATCAGTACATGCACAGCAAAAAAAAAACACACAAAAATCAAAGGAACAGCGCTTTTAGTACTGTTCTTCATCTTAAAGTCACAGTGAGGCCTTCAACTAAGATTAAGTTCATTTGTATGATGCAAACCTGTCATCTTTAGATAAGCAAATTTTAATTTCAAATGTATATAAACGTAAATAACATGTTTTGAATCGTTCTAGCTAACCCTATAGCATTCGTTAAGGGTGGTGTTTCTCTTCATTTCATTTTAAGTTTCCCATAATCATAATCAGAATATCATACGTCAGGTAGCCAGTGTTTTGTCACTGGAATAGTGTAAATGATACATTTTGAGAGTTTAATTTCAGTTTATAAATCATGGGATTGCACTTAACGTAAGATTGACACGACATTTAGGAATAACGACTTTAGACGGTTTGAACTTCTCTCCTTAGACCCTTTAAGTTAGTTTGTTCACGATTGTTTGTTTTTTTATGTTGTTTTTTTGCATTTGAATACCCGAAAAATATGTTTTGAGCTTACTTTATGCTCATTTCCCCCAGAAAACACGTACTGTATGTATTGATACATTATACGTTTTTATTTTGGCTGAAGTGTGCAAGTCTTTATATGTATATGCTACTGTTATGTGATTTGATATAACATCTGTTAGAATTTTGCAAAAGACTCAGATCAATTTAGTAAAAAATAACAGTTTTATGATATCGTATTGCAAGTCGTTTCTTTCAATGTTTAAATTAGAAAATCGAATTATCGAGAAACAAGAATTACCAATTGTTAACCTATATCAAAACTCACAAAAAAGTTTTGAAGGACAGTTCTTTTTTCCTTATTTGCTTGATGAATAACATTGCCCCAAACAAATATCTGTTTATCAAATAACAGAAAGGAAATTTTACCTCCTCAATTAATTCCTGTTTTTTGGTCGATTTATGTATCTTTATACCATTACTAATATTTGAATCTAGTGATTGTTCTTTACGAGATTTGTGATGTTGACGGACAGGTCTTTTATAGTATGTTCAACTTATTTATAACTTTCCAGACCAGAGGCAACTAAGAAATTTACATACTGTTTGATAACTTTCCGAAATACTGTACGTTGACCTCAGGGAAGAACATTTTATCGAATCGATAGAACATTTCATCGGAAAATGAAATTTTAGCGCCGAAGAATAGCCCATTTTAGCGAAAACTAAAAAAATCAATGATCAAAGCGACAAAAAATTATACATTTTTACACTTTTATTATATGAAATAGTAGAATCACATTTTATAATGTGAAAACACCATAATATTGAATTGTGGTTTTCATTAAAATGCAGCACAAAAAGTCCGAATACTTAGCACAATAAAACCAATGATCTAATTTACACTATGCGTTTCTAAATTTAGATATAACATCTCCGTTGTGTCTTGGAACTTACTTTCTAGTGATCCTCCATAATTGGCTCTTATATCCCATCTACAATACAAATCATAGAATTGCAGTAATAAATGTACATTCTCTTGTTTGTGTCTAAATTTTATTAATTTGTCGATTCGACGCTGGAATATCACAATTTCATTTGTTTTAACAATTTTTATTTCAATTTAAACGAAACCAAGGTGAGTATTGTTCAACTAGGTAAGTTTTTACTAAAGTAGGTTAACAAAAATACAATTGAAAGGATCTATCCTACGCCAAAATAGTTTACTGTGAGCCATAAAATGTCCACTAGTACATTTTAGTAGTTTTCATTTAATCGCTTAAATGTCCTACACCGGTTTACCTTTAGATGTCTGTTGTTTTTCTTTTGGTTTTTTATCCGTTAAGATATTCCTAACCTATTTCTACAAACGTTCCATTTATAAACACATTTGAATAATTGAGGTAATAGTATCATATGTCAGGGTTAGAAGAAGTTATTTCCAAACAATAGTCTTCTCTTTCACTTCTATTCCCCTTGAGGGTCCCAAATGCCTGAACAAATATTTGTGATTCTTTTATAATACACTTCACATAGAACTTAACTCTTGAAAAAAAGGTGACAAAGTAACCAAATGACTTGGGAAGAACTAAACTAAAATATCCTAGATAAAAATTTAGAAAATTTAATGCTACAATTTTACATTTAACATAAGAATTTCTGATAAATTAGTTTTAAAATAATACATTTTCTGCAAACATTGTAAGTATTTCTGATGATTATCAAACTATGTTTTGGTACTTCATTTGAGTAAAAATATTTTTGTTTAAAATTCCTATAGCTTTTTGCGATTTGCCACTCCTCTCCATCTACCGATTTGCCACAATTCTCCATTTACCGATTTCCCAATATTACTTTGATTCCATGTGTTGCCCTCATAACAAGTTCTGGATTGATATCATAATTATGACCATCTAATAGTGATACTTTGTATCTGAAAAAGCAATACAAAAGGTCGTTTATTAATTCACATGTTGCTATACCCACTTACGATAACAACTTGAGATGCACGATATCTTTATCTTAACTATAGCACAGCAGGTTTTATTCAAAACGAATCCAATTTACTGAGTGGTATTTGGACAAGAACTGATTCAGTATATTTGAATAACAAGGGGAAAAGAAGGTAGGGGAATTTGTATCCCCATTTAACATTAAAGTATTATAGAACGGTATTGAAAATCTTAATATACTCTATACTTACCAAATAAAGTATTTACTTTAAAAGTGTCAGTGTGGCGTGGGGTTTAATAATTTTGATATTGCACAGATAAACATCTGTCTTATTTATAATTGTTTTTTTTTGGGGTTTTTTTTTTTTTTTTTTTTTTTTTTTTGTTAGGTTTTTTTTGTGTGTTTGTTTATTTCTTTTTATCCAAATCCGTACTATAAAATGAAATAAAATATTATCAACATACGTTTTTTTTTATTGATTATTAACAATTACAAACCTCTGAACTAATCTACTGATGATAACCTTTATTTCGTTCATTGCAAAATTCTGTCCAATACAATTCCTGCAATATGAATAAGCATTATAAAAATGATGGGGGTATAAGTAAACGAACCAACAGCATAAATGTAAGGACACAAACAAATGGCATTTGATTTAACTTGAGGACTTCAACGATTACTTTGGATGTTAAGATAGCGACAATCAAGCAATAAACGATAGACAAGGGCCAGAGCAATATATCAAGGCGAGGCACTAAATTTGAAATCAAATCGAATCTAGAAAAAGATGTGAAAAAGTTTAACAGATACTGAAAAGATACCTAGGGGGTCAGAAATCCTAGTAGTCCAATACAAACAAAGAAAAGCAACAAAATTACAGTTTAATAATTTCTTTCGCAATCTACGAATAAAAGGGTTTTATTTCTTCTCGCAATCGAACTCCCAAAGCATAAGTCTATGTAATTTATTTTACTTTGAACTATTATTGGCACGAGTCCATATTTGTTTAGTGCACAAACATTCACGATAAAGGATAAAACTATGGATTATCATATAATTCAATCATTCATATTCATCGAATTCTCACATATTACTTAATATAACGAATATGTCGTATTTTTTCTCTAATTTACATGCATTTTTCACATTTATCGGTCGGTGCGAGAAAAATATTTCTCATCTCTAAAGAAAACTTTGTTCTCGGCAAATGATTTGTCAAAATTCAACTATGACGTCAATTTTTTTTTTGTGTGTCTTCTAAATTTGCTATTGTGGCGTCATAAAAAAGGCGACCCTGTCTGATGACGTCACATATAAAGAACATAACTTTCTGCAAATCTTTGAAAAGGAAGAATAAACTTTGTTTAGATATCGTCTAAAAATCATCAGAGAAGATTTTCCACCACTATAACTTGTGTATTACGATATTTCTCCACTCTCAACAGCTAGATTTTAATTATTTAAAAAGCTCGGCAAGCCTCGCGCTTTAAATGTCAAAATTAAACTGTCTTCAGTGGAGAAATATCGTAAAACACTTGATGCAGTGGTGAAATCTATATATCTCACTTACCTTGATCCAGCAGCAAAATGTATGTAGCTGTAAGGATGTCTGTCAGTTATGTCTTCCTGTAAAAATCTCTCCGGTCTAAATACCTGTATTATGACATCAAACATTAGAAAAAGTAATAATAAAGATACCAATAAAAATATTTTGTCTTCCCATGAGTGATGTATTATATATCTATTCCATACGGGAATAACAAATCAGAGACGTCTCATTTTATTAAAAACTCACTTATTTCAAAGACGGAACAAAACGCATTAACGATTTAAAGCTTATAATTTGGTACACAAGACGCGCGTTTCGTCTTCAAAAGACTCTGAGTACGCCTTAATGAAAAAAAAATAAGCAAAATAAAGTACAGTTTAGCAATGCAGTTACAAAAAAGCCTTAAGTATAGAATTGGATTCCATTGCAAATAAAATCAAAAGTTCGAAGTGATAGTAAACAAAACTACTGTGATTCTGAAGGAATCCGTGAGAGAAATATTGAATGTGATCTTTCAGAAAACTATTTGCAATGATTCGAGTCGATATTCGAGGGAAGGTAGCTTAAGATATTAACCAATATGCCATATATGATACATGTATTGATACTTAGCTCAATTTTGTAATTCCCGGAAATACCACGCTTCCGAGAAGTCAACCGATGCAAATACAAGAATGGTAGTATACTTAAATCTTAGTAATTAAAATGGTGGTGAGATAGAACAAACAGTTGCTTTCATCAAATGATCACTCAAAATGCACCATATTTATTAATGCAGAAATTGTTTTTCAAAACCAATTCCATTAATATATTCTCCAGAACTAGAAATCAAAGAAACAGCAGACACGGCTTCCTCCTCCTCATTTTTAGACTTATATCTCGAATTTGACATGAGTGGTCATCTCAGTACCAGCATTTATGACAAACGAGGCGATTTTAATTTGGAGCTTGCAGTTGCTACTCAAACTTTATAAAACGTCACCAGTGTCTGAGCAGAAAGTTGATGAACCAGGGTAATGCCAAAGAACGTCTTGTCCTTTTTCTAAAAAAAAACGTTTATTGGAAGATACCAAGACATTGTTGATAAATATTCTGTATCAACTTCACAAATAATACATGATGGTCTTGAAGTGTAGATTCTAGGTACTGACGTTGTTTATCATCTGAATTCTGCGTTATATTGTTCTTTTTATTTGTCTTAGGGTATTTTTAACCTTTACTGTTTAGTCCATTTTTGGTAATATACTTTTGATGTGACTCGATATTTATACATCCCGCCATTTTGTTATTGTGGAATGGTCATTTTTGTATTCTTGTCTTTCATTTTTGCTCATGTACTTTGTCTAAAGAGTGTCTATATGCCATTTTTGTTGTTGAAATAGTTATTTGTTTTTATAGGGAAGATAAGATTATAACAAAATAATTACTGCTGTACTCCAATTTTTGCCATTGTAACCTATTATGTCTGTTTGTTTTGCTTACACATAGTTGTCAATATAATGGAATTTTATGTGACTGTCATACAAGTGAGAAGTTTAGCTAGCTATAAAACCAGGTTTAATCCACCATTTTCTACATAAGGAAATGCCTGTACCAAGTCAGGAATATGACAGTTGTTTTCCATTCGTTTAATGTTTTTGAGTTTTTGATTTTGCCATTTGATTTTTTTTTTTGTTATTTTACTTTTTCCATAATCAAAAATTTTATTGAAATCGTGCTTAAATGTTTTACATAACATCATCAACATTCCGACATTATGAAACGAAGCAAAACCCCATATTACCAATTCTAAACTAGATTCCTGCCAATCAAATTGGCAATACTTTAAACACGATGGTAACACTAATGTAACTTTTTGCTATTACTAAAATTGAGAATGAAAACGGGAAATGTGCTAAAAAGACAACAACACGACCAATCAGCAGAAAACAGCCGAAGGCAACCAAAGCGTCTTCATCACAGCGAGAAAATCCCGCACCCAGATACGGGCTGCAGCTGACCCCTAAAAAATGTATACTAGTTCAGCGAAGATGGACGTCACATTAAACTCCGAAATATATAAATGAACCAAAATTTAAAAAAACAAACATACAAGACTACCTAAGGCCAGAGGTTCCTGGCTTGTGACAGGTGCATCAATGCAGCCGGGTTAAACATGTTTTGTGAGATCTCAACCCTCCCAGTGTAGAATAAACAAACACAGCAATACGTACAGTAAAACTCATTTTAAAAGAAGTCCTGCTGTCGGTGTGTCGTACCTTGATCTGTAACAACGTTGAAAAAATTTGGAAATGAACGGTTTGTCCATACTGATAAGCAAGTACTAACTCTAGAATTACGTTGTGTAAGATTTGAAAAGATTAATTGAGCGGATGAAAAACAGCTTGCCCTTTCCAGTGCTCATTCGAGTTCGACACAGCTCTGTTTTTGTTGCTCATGCATCCTTGGGCTTTATGCGAATTCTTTGTAGACTGTTATTTCTCTATTTGTCTGTTCTTTTAGTACATACTGCTGTATTTTCTTCAGTGGTGAGTTATTTTATATTCCCCGAATAACCTTTGACTTATTTAACCATTTGTTTTAAAAAAAACGGGCTGTGTAATATTTTGTAACTAGAGGAATAAAAGGGTTTCCATTTTCCTTTTTTAACCCTAACCTTTTAAAATAAAACCGGAAATAGGTTATGAATTTACCTCATGTTCAGGCCAAACATCTGGATGATGATGAATCGAGTGAATATTAATATCTATATGAACACCAGCAGGTACAACTATGTCACCAAACTTCATTAGCGACATCAATAGTCGTGCTGTTACCGGCACTGGTGCAAACATCCTCATAGATTCTTTTACAAATGATGTAAGGCGCGGCATCTCCTGCAGATTTTCCCTGAATTATACAAAAAATGTTTTATGGGTCAACAACACTTTTAGCACAAAGTATGATACGTAGTTCTATGGGATAACGTTCTGCAGATGTTCACACGTCAATTTTCTGCTAGATGTAAATTATATTGCATTTCATCTCATATATTTTCTTCAGTGCGTCAAACTTTTTTGATACGAAAAAAAAAAATGCGATGGATAATTTGCCACAAACTAAAATCATTCTGTACTAAACTAACTATTTCACCATGTTCATTTACAATAACGTTTTTCAAGGAACAAGTAACGTTTACAGTATTTGTAATGTAAGGGGGAAAATTATGTCGATCTTCTTTCATTTTGAACATATGTATTCCAGACAGATAGATTAACTGCGAATCTTAGTTAACAAATCCTGGCAACTTGACAGTCAGAAGTGTCAACTTTATCTGCATACGGGATCAGCCAGTGTAAAAGTAATAATTTTTTATCAACAAGCCATACACAGTTCTGTTCTTGACATAAATCGCACCGTATGATAAAGTATAGTTCTATGTTCTGAGTATAAAGAATGAATAGCATTGAAAATGAAAAGATATCAATCATAAGTCAAAGAAGTACATATAGTGAAATGGCTATAAAAGAAAAGGTCCAAACATTTTCTTACTCTGGAAACTATAGAATAAAAATTATACACCAGTAAACTCGTTTGCTCTGCAAAAGAGTGGCGAAAGATTCCAAAGGGATATAAAAACTGATAAGTCTAAAACAAACTGACAATGCCATGGCAAAAAACTAAAAACGACGTAAAGACAATCAACAGTACATAAAACCCAACCAAAAACCGAAGGGTAAGCAGATCCTGCTCCACACGTGACACCCGTCGTCTTGCTTTATGATAAGAAATCATCAGAGGCTAAATTATTATCTAATAGTATTTTTGTTTTGTTTCTATTGTTAAATATAATCCACAACCTTCTATAATTTTTAAATTAACGTACCAAGTTACCTCTGATTTATCTACTAATAACTTTGATATTTCTGTATATACTTTTTCCTGCTCTTCGGTATATTTTCCTAAACAGTATATAGTCCAGCTAATTGCAGACGCAGTGGTATCATGACCTACAAAGAACTAGTATGCAAAAAAGTCTTACACGTACATTTAAAGATAGCTTGTACAGCACGTTAACTTGATGACCTGACATTTTGACTGGTCTAAATAAAATTGTAATAGAATGTGTTAACAGATCAGACTGTTCCTAGAACAAAATTCAAATTTAAATGAGAAGCAGACTTGATAATGAAGCTTTTCAAAGCCAAAACATCAACGTCTTGCCAATTTCTGTATGTTCACCTCAAAATATGTTAATGATGTCCTGTCACTCAATTATTCCACATTCAGTGAGTGCTAGCTACTCATATTTCCCAGTGACCTAGAAATAAATGATACTACCGAAACTAAAATATCTGCATCATATCTTGATCTTTTGCGGGGATATTGTCACAAATGGACGACTTCAAACTAGAATATATGACAAAAGTGATGATTGCAACTTTCTCATTGCCAACCCCCTTTCGCAGCAGTACAATAACCCTGCCCCATCGTATTGATATGTTACGCTCGTTCATATTCACATAATACGGACCTCATTAAAAAAAGATGTGCTCCTAACACAAAAACTGATCCAAATGGGTTTAGAGGGAGACCGACTGACATTAACACTACATATTTAAGTGATATGGTCAACATCACGAATTGGTTGGTCGATAAGCTGCGTCTATTCTAAACTCGATAACAAAATGTTTTCGCGATCTTAGATCTTCAGATGCCGGAATAGTCCTCTGACCTGTAAATTTACCAATTGTGTACTTTTCCGATTTTGATATTTTGATATGTGTATTCGCATAGCGGGTGATGCACGCTTATCATTAGACGATTACCATGTCAACCCACGTTGTCTCGTTCCTTTTGGAGTTCATTACATTCCTTCATATTAAGTTTTAACCATGATGCGTATGTTTTAAATGGATTTCTAAGGTTTGAACATCGAGCGGTAGACTACAGTTGACTCTTACTGATCTTATGACTTATTTTTAACTGTTAAAAAAGTTCATTTTTGCAGGTTCGCTAATGAAATTACCTTTGGTTGAAGTTAACTTCGTCTAAATGAATCCGTTACACGAGTTTAATGTATCTAGGCTCTTATCAAACCAGACCTCTTTTGTGGACCAGGTTTAATCAACAATTTTCTACATGAGGAAATACATGAACCAAGTCAGGAATATGACAGTTGTTTTCCATTTGATAGATGTGTTTGAGCTTTTGATTTTGCCATTTTATAAAGAACTTTCCGTTTCGAATTTCCCTTGGAGTTCGGTATTTTTGTTATTTTACTTTTTGTAATATATTGTCATATTGCATTTTGCAGATCATTGTATTGTTTGTTTTACCTCAATTGTCATGTAATTTATAACTGGTCTTATGCTATTTACTTTTTTTCTACCAGTTTAAATTCAAATATAAATTGTTCATCTCAAGACGTTCACCTTCAAACAAAAACGTATCCACTTCAGCTCTTACATCTTCATCAGAAAGTCCTATTCCATTGTCATCTTTGGCTGTAAGAAGTATATCTAGGAAATCAAGATGACGCTTTGTAGGTTTTCCTTCTTTTTTCTGCAATGTAGATAAGTCGTTGAGTTAGTGCATCCCTCGTGGTGATCACGCCATGAAAGTGTTTAATTCGGACGCGCCAAATTTATAAAGTGTTATTGTCATTTATTAAGAAAGTTCATAACCGTATATCAATAGAAGAGGCGGCAGATACCAATGGGATACTCAAAACTGCAATAATATGTTCATACATTTTAGTGGTATATTGTCTATTTCTTTGAAATAGCTTAACATTAAGTGTCAATGACAGAACATTTCTAAACCTTGGCTGTCGACTGCAATTGTGATACATCTTGCATTGATTGACATTTTTGTTTTGATACTGGATCGTAGGTTACCTGTGATGGTTTCAATAACAACTTTTGGACGAAGTCAAGGACTCAGGAAGGAGTTTATGTCGTTCAATCGTTATTCTATTTTACTTTTCGTGTTGTTTGTCTTTTTGTTTTTCTTCTTTTTGCAACTAGCGATGGTAGTATCATTTTCTCGCCCAAATGATTATCTACGACAAAAAAAATGATGTATTACCCCCTCAAACCGGTGCTAGGGGTCGTCTTAAACTTGCACTGAGGTGTGAGTTTTTCTGCTTCGTGTTGAAGGCCTCACTGTGACTTTGTGACGAAGAACATCAATAAAAACGACGTTCCTTCGCTTTTTTGTGTTGTTTGCTGTGCATGTATTGATTTTGTGACATGGCTGGATACACCGAATTCTTTCTTTTCTGTTGTATAACGTAATTGTGCTACCTACCAGAGTTTGTTGTCTTTCTTTTATAATTCCATTCGAAAATTCGTGTGAATAATCACATAGCTGCTTCAATTCTTTCCCTTCATTAGAAAATCGATATATAAAATCAATTTGATACCAAGGATTTCTGAAAAAGAATGTTTAGTTTGTCATCGATGTGTGTGGATGTGTGTGTTTTTGGGTTGTTTTTGTTTGTTTTTTTAAGATAAGCTTCTGAGTTATTTTTTATTCAATTTTGTATTTTGTTTAACACAAGTTGATCAGTTTAATGAGATGATTTCAAACTGTAACTTCAGAGAAACTTTAAAGATAATTGGTATATTGTGAAAAAACAAGGCCTTTCTAATATGCACAGTAAAAGTGGAAATTGATTTGATAAAAACTTCTACTGATTCTAGCTACAGGAGTTTGATAGAAATGTAGTTCAGTCTTAACATTATTACGGTAAAATATAAATATAAAGAGATGTGGTATGATTACAAATGAGACAACTATCCACCAGAGTTGAAATGACTAAGATATAAGCAATTATAGACAATCGTACATATTTGTATAAAAAAGGAAATTTAGGAATTGTCCTTTATGAAGGTACCATTTGATTTGTATGGGGGGACTAGGATGAAATTTGAAAAAAAGCAGGACAGGAGTTTTGAGTTAACAAAAAGGCAGGATGAGCAACTCGGGGTATAAATGAACGACACATATATACTTACAAGCACCTAGACAACGTTAAATATGATAATCTGTTAACAGCATTTACGTAGGGATGTTTCGATCTGTAACGATAAAAACTGAGAGAATTATAAGCTGTCGCTCCTTTATTTCTTGTAAACAGGTGAACAAACAGTGTGAATAAAAGAAGGAGTGGGTATAAGTCAATTAAACAGCAATACTACTACCAAAAATCTCAAAAGACATCTAGACTTCAAAATACGGTCTTCAACAATAGGCAGGTGTCTATCCAATATGTAGAGTTCGGAGTCGTTAATTAAACTAAAATAATCAAAGTATTCATTGCAAAGTATATAGACTGTTAGATTGTTGTTATATGCTCTTTCTTATGTGGTAATCTTTACCTCGACGATGCCCACGTCTTATTACTTTTCACCTCCTCTTGGCTACTTTTAATCGCTACTTAACCGAATAAATTCTTAATAATAAGTGTTTGTATTGATTCTTATTATGCAGTTGTCCGGTTAGTTTTACAATGTACTAGAACACATTTTAGTATTGCTATTGTCAATGTGATTATAAGATGCACAGTTTTCTCTGCTTTCAAAATCTTTCTGCTTGAACCCGTGGACCTGGAACTTATTAATTATTGATAATATTAATTATTTGGAAAACAAAGAGGCTTGGAATTCTGTAATTTTCAATCAACACCATTGTCCTATATTAGTTATATATAAATATGAATTATTTGATTCGCGGTTTTTAAGTTATACCGGCTAACAAATTGGAAACTGTACCTATGCCTTATTTTAAGTCTGGATTTTTACTTTTTTAGTATTAGTATTTTCATCTTATTACGTTATGCTGAATAAAATACTACAATAGGAATCAATGTGACAATGATTGAATTTAGTAGTGTCAACCCTGTATAATGACCCGTGTATATAGCAAATCCCAAATACACCGTTTGGTGGTGCACCTGACAGATACGGCGTACAGATAAGGTAAAATAGATTTCACGGGCAGTACGTCGACTGAGCATGCGCGAAAGCGTATAAGACACGGATCGATAACGGTCTCCAAATTTGGATATTTTCTCAAAAATTGGCGTTTTCTGTGGAAAAAATATTGTTTCAAATACAAATTTAGGAAGTACAAAACACTACATTTATACGTCATATCACAAATATTTCCGACTTTGTATGGTCCAGAGGAGTTGCGGTTCAATGAAATCGGTCTCTTCCTTTAGTAGTATAGATATGATAATGTTATTATTTGTCAAACTGGTTAATCATATTCTGCTTTAATCATTTCATAATTCAATATTGCTTTGCATCTTGTCGTTTGTGTATAGCTTATCACTTGCTCTGGTTATATTTTCTTTTAATAACTACTCACCCCTGATCTTGTATATTTCCTCGGTATGAAAAGGCACATCTTAATATAGTTTCCAAAGTTGCTAGAGCTACACGCGGGAATATATCTATTGCCTCACCACTTTTAGCATACACCTTCAGTTTTTCCTATTAAATCATGCAAAAGAAGTCAGATTTTTATAGACATTTTCGAATTTGACATCGGATGCAATTTACAGCGGTATCCAGTTACATGTTGCCCATTTTGTTCTACAATTGGGCATTTATGAAATATATAACTATTGTGATATTACCGAATGCAATTCATCCCTGAGTTTTTACTTGCCACCGGTGGGGAATAAACTGCTCACTTTCCGTAGAATGAAAAGCATCCTTCGTTTTTTGATACTAGTAGTTTCTTCTTTACAGTTCTATTCGTAATCTTTAGTGTTCTTTGTAGTGTCTTGTAGATTGTTATTTGGGGTTTTTTTTCTTGCGATTTTCTTTTAGCCATACTTTGACTTATAGTTTTACATTCTGCCGTTGTATATTTTGCCAATTTAAGATCCGCTGCTTCTAGAGCAGCACAAAACGAGTAAAGGAAAACATTTAAAAACGAAGTTAGTGCGAGCATTGATTGATACAGTATTATAGTCCGTCTGAGTTTATACTCTATAATAGCGTAAGCATAGAGTTAATTGCTTTTCTCATGCTGAGTTTTACATTATTGTTTTTGAGATACTTGTCAATCTTCTGATCGAGGATAAAAATGGAGAGGGATCTTTCTTTTTGGCATTGTCTAATGTAACTCCGACTCATATCAATATAAGACGCTTTGCAAGGAGAGGCACACAATTGGTTCCGATAGGATAACTGGGAAATGCTACCTCAAAACTCAACAAATGTGTTGTCAATAAGAAACTCTTATATTGTGATCACTTGTTCTTCGGTATTGCCTGTTTTTACATTGGTTCAATTTTAACAAATATGCCAGATTATATCACAACTTACTGCTATACTTACAAGGAATACATCTGTAACACTGTTATACACTTTAACGTATGGTTTAAGTATTTCAAAATGGAAGCCTGGGGTCAAAAGTCGTCTATTCCGTTCCCATTTCTTTCCATCAGATATCAACAAACCATCGCCTAGATAGACAAAATTTCTAAACGTTGAATTTTTAATAAATACTAATTGCATTTCATTGACTTATAGAGTGACTACGTTAATCATGGTCATTGTTATCGTCATCTTCATCGTCATCACTGTCGCCGTCGATATTGTTCTCGTCATCATCGTCATTATCATCATCATCATCATCATCATCATCATCATCATCATCATCATCGTTGTCTCCTTCCCGTCTCCCCCTCCTACCATTGTCATCATAATAATGTAGTTTTACGTATGCTTTAAATTATTACAGTATTGAAATTCGAAGGAAAAAGAAAATATTCTTTTGGTTTTTATAACTAAATATGCCCATATAAACGTAAAATAAAAGCGTATTTTGAATCGCTTTACAATTACTGTCTTTTCTGCGGTAAATGTGGTTTTATTTACTAAATTAATATCCGTGAATATCATTTTTTTAAAGTCAATAAAACAACATATTCTGACAGAAAACAAAATAGATAATGACAATTATTTACCTAAACCAATTGTAAACCATTTTTTTTCCATTTTACCATAACTTTGCATATAAATGCACGTATATTTAGCGAGGTGATTATCAATTATCACCTTTTTCCGATGAGTATGCTGTTTTATTCAAAATGCAATTCATTTAGAAAAAAATTTTAAAATAGTACCAACATGGAATAATGACATTTATTGCAGTTTGACGAAAACTGTGTAAAGATTCTGACGGTGAACAAACAGTTTTGTATAGCAATCGTAGGAGATCAGGTGACATGCTTACTAATTCAAAATTGTAGATTAGTCTATTATATTAATGTGACAGTTGGGCCTGTTGATCGCAGATCTGTCATAATATATATTGATGAAGAATTTAATAATGAACATATTGATACATGTGAATGATTTAAATATTCTAGAGATAACAAAGTTATCTATCTCTCAATGGCTATCCCAAGCTCTAATCGCGAAACATTAAATATGTGTCTGGTCCTATCAGGCAATATGGGATGCGTGGTTGCATGGGTGTTTAAATAAAACAAAAACAAAAAATAAATTTTGAGAACCAGAAATTGACTGATAAAAAACTACATTCAACTTTTCCAATCTTTTAAACAAAATGAACACTGCATTTATACGCATACCTGAGTAGATACGAAATGTCGTATAGGCTAAATCGCGAAACACGCGAAGCAAAAAAAACCCATTTCGTTAAGGATTTTGAGATATTTATTTTCTAATATCTTATCATACTGACATGCATTGGTCATTCAAACAGTGTTGGTCTTTCTTACCAAGTGTGGGATTTTTAGCATCTATTCTCATATATCATGTATATCAATTTCCCAAGTTTTACAATTTATGTCCTCACAGATTGAGTCTTTGCTACCGAGTGTAAGGAATTTATATGCTTTTCTTACCTTTCCAATCTCTTAGATATCTCTAGGCCCCTCCAACAATATAAGCTTACCTATCCAATCTCTTGGATATCTGTAGGCCCCCCCCCCCCGATAGTACAAGCCTACCTTTCCAGTCTCCTTAATTTCTGTAGGCCCCTCAGACAGTATAAACTTACCTATCCAAAATCTTAGATATCTGTAGTCCCCTCCAACAGTATAAGCTTACCTATCCAATTTCTTAGATATCTGTAGGCCCCTCCGACAGCATTCTTACCTATACAATCTCTTAGATATATGTAATACAGCATACGGTTTTGGTGCTGATGATTTATCCAGTATATCTGTGCTGAGTCGGGATGACATACTCCAAAAATCGGATAGAAAAACATAATCCAAGCAACATAAACCTTTGGCCCCTCAGACAGTATAAGTTTACCTATCCAATTTCTTACATATATGTAGGGCTCTCCAACAGCATTCACACCTATTTAATCTCTTGGATATCTTTAGGCCCCCTCCGACAGTATTCTTAACTATCCAATTTCTTAGATATCTGTATGCCCCTCTGACAGAATTCTTACCTATCCAATCTCTTAGATATCTGTAGGTCCCTCCGACAGCAAACGCTTTTGGTGCTGATGATTTATACAGTATCTGTGCCGAGTCCGGATGACAGACTCCAAAAATCGGATAGAAAAACAGAATCCAAGAAACATAAACCTTTGGTCTTTCCTTTTCAACAATCTTTCCAAGGAGTTTGAAATATGAAGCAAGATCATGAAACTATAAACAGAAAAGAAAATAATTATCATTTTTGATTTTATCATTATGAAGTTTTAAAAAAGTGCAATGAATCGAAATTATTCCGCTTTTATTATTTTCTCTCTCGCACGAAACAGTAACAAAGTCACTGCAAAACCTTAATCAAACTTTATCATTTGGGCAGAGTGGGTAATATTTGTCTCTCCATCTGTCCTGCTTTTCAAAAACAAACTTAGGTCTTTTACCTGAGGGTTGCGATTTTATCGATGATTTCATTTACAAAAAAACGACATCAGTCAAATAATGACGAAAACAAATTCTTCGAAAGGATAAACAAAATTTAATACATGTATGACAAACATGTTTATGAATCGACATGCAACACAAAAAATGTCGTTTCTGTGTGGATAAATATCATAATTTTTTTATTAGAAAATAAAGTCAACAGGGATTGGCAAGGCAAGAGCAGTACAAAAAATCAGGATTAAGACAGGGTGTTTTTTCTTTCTTTTCTTTCATTCTTTGTTTAATCTTTCAGTTAAATATGAGGAAAGGCATGATTCATTTTTCCAAGTAATTATAACGTTAATAGATAAAATTGAGAATGGAAATGGGGAATGTGTCAAAGAGACAACAACCCGACCAAAGAGCAGAAAACAGCCCAAGGCCACCAATGGGTCTTCAACACAGCGAGAGAATCCCGCACCCGGAGGCGAGCTTCTGATGGCCCCTAAAAATGTGTACTAGTTCAGTGAAAATGAACGTCACACTAAACTCTGAAACATATTAATGAACTAAAATTTTTAAAAAACATACACGACTAACAAAGGACAGAGGCTCCCAAAAATGCGGCGGGGTTAAACATGTTTTGTGAGATCTCAACCCTGCCCCTATACCTCTAGCCAATGTAGAATAAAAAACACACACCAATACACACAGTATAACTCAGTTTAAAAGAAGTCCGAGTCCGATGTCAGAATATGTAACAGAAGAAACTAAGCAAAATGAAAGTGATACATAAATTAACAAAGGACTTCTAGCAGTAACTGACATGCCAGCTCCATACCTCAGTTGAACTGATTGAAAGATTATGTCTTCATCATATGAAAATCAAGCACAATCCCTCCCGTTAGGGGTTTAGTATCATATCATCATAAAATATATGAGAAGAACATAACCCGTATCATGCCAACAACTGGTTTTAGAATAAATGTGTTTATTTCCGATTCAAAGACCCTATGCTTGAACCAATATTAATTCCAAAAAAATGACATCTTTAATGACCTAACAACAGTATCGTAACTATATCCCTTCTGTATAAATCTGTTTAAAGGTTTGGTTAGCTATTGAGGTGAATGACGACATTTTTGTGCTTTGTATAGAATATTGTTTCAAATACAAATTTAGGAAGTACAAAACACTACATTTATACGTCATATCACAAATATTTCCGACTTTGTATGGTCCAGAGGAGTTGCGGTTCAATGAAATCGGTCTCTTCCTTTAGTAGTATAGATATGATAATGTTATTATTTGTCAAACTGGTTAATCATATTCTGCTTTAATCATTTCATAATTCAATATTGCTTTGCATCTTGTCGTTTGTGTATAGCTTATCACTTGCTCTGGTTATATTTTCTTTTAATAACTACTCACCCCTGATCTTGTATATTTCCTCGGTATGAAAAGGCACATCTTAATATAGTTTCCAAAGTTGCTAGAGCTACACGCGGGAATATATCTATTGCCTCACCACTTTTAGCATACACCTTCAGTTTTTCCTATTAAATCATGCAAAAGAAGTCAGATTTTTATAGACATTTTCGAATTTGACATCGGATGCAATTTACAGCGGTATCCAGTTACATGTTGCCCATTTTGTTCTACAATTGGGCATTTATGAAATATATAACTATTGTGATATTACCGAATGCAATTCATCCCTGAGTTTTTACTTGCCACCGGTGGGGAATAAACTGCTCACTTTCCGTAGAATGAAAAGCATCCTTCGTTTTTTGATACTAGTAGTTTCTTCTTTACAGTTCTATTCGTAATCTTTAGTGTTCTTTGTAGTGTCTTGTAGATTGTTATTTGGGGTTTTTTTTCTTGCGATTTTCTTTTAGCCATACTTTGACTTATAGTTTTACATTCTGCCGTTGTATATTTTGCCAATTTAAGATCCGCTGCTTCTAGAGCAGCACAAAACGAGTAAAGGAAAACATTTAAAAACGAAGTTAGTGCGAGCATTGATTGATACAGTATTATAGTCCGTCTGAGTTAATACTCTATAATAGCGTAAGCATAGAGTTAATTGCTTTTCTCATGCTGAGTTTTACATTATTGTTTTTGAGATACTTGTCAATCTTCTGATCGAGGATAAAAATGGAGAGGGATCTTTCTTTTTGGCATTGTCTAATGTAACTCCGACTCATATCAATATAAGACGCTTTGCAAGGAGAGGCACACAATTGGTTCCGATAGGATAACTGGGAAATGCTACCTCAAAACTCAACAAATGTGTTGTCAATAAGAAACTCTTATATTGTGATCACTTGTTCTTCGGTATTGCCTGTTTTTACATTGGTTCAATTTTAACAAATATGCCAGATTATATCACAACTTACTGCTATACTTACAAGGAATACATCTGTAACACTGTTATACACTTTAACGTATGGTTTAAGTATTTCAAAATGGAAGCCTGGGGTCAAAAGTCGTCTATTCCGTTCCCATTTCTTTCCATCAGATATCAACAAACCATCGCCTAGATAGACAAAATTTCTAAACGTTGAATTTTTAATAAATACTAATTGCATTTCATTGACTTATAGAGTGACTACGTTAATCATGGTCATTGTTATCGTCATCTTCATCGTCATCACTGTCGCCGTCGATATCGTTCTCGTCATCATCGTCATTATCATCATCATCATCATCATCATCATCATCATCATCATCATCATCGTTGTCTCCTTCCCGTCTCCCCCTCCTACCATTGTCATCATAATAATGTAGTTTTACGTATGCTTTAAATTATTACAGTATTGAAATTCGAAGGAAAAAGAAAATATTCTTTTGGTTTTTATAACTAAATATGCCCATATAAACGTAAAATAAAAGCGTATTTTGAATCGCTTTACAATTACTGTCTTTTCTGCGGTAAATGTGGTTTTATTTACTAAATTAATATCCGTGAATATCATTTTTTTAAAGTCAATAAAACAACATATTCTGACAGAAAACAAAATAGATAATGACAATTATTTACCTAAACCAATTGTAAACCATTTTTTTTCCATTTTACCATAACTTTGCATATAAATGCACGTATATTTAGCGAGGTGATTATCAATTATCACCTTTTTCCGATGAGTATGCTGTTTTATTCAAAATGCAATTCATTTAGAAAAAAATTTTAAAATAGTACCAACATGGAATAATGACATTTATTGCAGTTTGACGAAAACTGTGTAAAGATTCTGACGGTGAACAAACAGTTTTGTATAGCAATCGTAGGAGATCAGGTGACATGCTTACTAATTCAAAATTGTAGATTAGTCTATTATATTAATGTGACAGTTGGGCCTGTTGATCGCAGATCTGTCATAATATATATTGATGAAGAATTTAATAATGAACATATTGATACATGTGAATGATTTATATATTCTAGAGATAACAAAGTTATCTATCTCTCAATGGCTATCCCAAGCTCTAATCGCGAAACATTAAATATGTGTCTGGTCCTATCAGGCAATATGGGATGCGTGGTTGCATGGGTGTTTAAATAAAACAAAAACAAAAAATAAATTTTGAGAACCAGAAATTGACTGATAAAAAACTACATTCAACTTTTCCAATCTTTTAAACAAAATGAACACTGCATTTATACGCATACCTGAGTAGATACGAAATGTCGTATAGGCTAAATCGCGAAACACGCGAAGCAAAAAAAACCCATTTCGTTAAGGATTTTGAGATATTTATTTTCTAATATCTTATCATACTGACATGCATTGGTCATTCAAACAGTGTTGGTCTTTCTTACCAAGTGTGGGATTTTTAGCATCTATTCTCATATATCATGTATATCAATTTCCCAAGTTTTACAATTTATGTCCTCACAGATTGAGTCTTTGCTACCGAGTGTAAGGAATTTATATGCTTTTCTTACCTTTCCAATCTCTTAGATATCTCTAGGCCCCTCCAACAATATAAGCTTACCTATCCAATCTCTTGGATATCTGTAGCCCCCCCCCCCCCCCCCCCCCCCCCCCCCGATAGTACAAGCCTACCTTTCCAGTCTCCTTAATTTCTGTAGGCCCCTCAGACAGTATAAACTTACCTATCCAAAATCTTAGATATCTGTAGTCCCCTCCAACAGTATAAGCTTACCTATCCAATTTCTTAGATATCTGTAGGCCCCTCCGACAGCATTCTTACCTATACAATCTCTTAGATATATGTAATACAGCATACGGTTTTGGTGCTGATGATTTATCCAGTATCTGTGCTGAGTCGGGATGACATACTCCAAAAATCGGATAGAAAAACATAATCCAAGCAACATAAACCTTTGGCCCCTCAGACAGTATAAGTTTACCTATCCAATTTCTTACATATATGTAGGGCTCTCCAACAGCATTCACACCTATTTAATCTCTTGGATATCTTTAGGCCCCCTCCGACAGTATTCTTAACTATCCAATTTCTTAGATATCTGTATGCCCCTCTGACAGAATTCTTACCTATCCAATCTCTTAGATATCTGTAGGTCCCTCCGACAGCAAACGCTTTTGGTGCTGATGATTTATACAGTATCTGTGCCGAGTCCGGATGACAGACTCCAAAAATCGGATAGAAAAACAGAATCCAAGAAACATAAACCTTTGGTCTTTCCTTTTCAACAATCTTTCCAAGGAGTTTGAAATATGAAGCAAGATCATGAAACTATAAACAGAAAAGAAAATAATTATCATTTTTGATTTTATCATTATGAAGTTTTAAAAAAGTGCAATGAATCGAAATTATTCCGCTTTTATTATTTTCTCTCTCGCACGAAACAGTAACAAAGTCACTGCAAAACCTTAATCAAACTTTATCATTTGGGCAGAGTGGGTAATATTTGTCTCTCCATCTGTCCTGCTTTTCAAAAACAAACTTAGGTCTTTTACCTGAGGGTTGCGATTTTATCGATGATTTCATTTACAAAAAAACGACATCAGTCAAATAATGACGAAAACAAATTCTTCGAAAGGATAAACAAAATTTAATACATGTATGACAAACATGTTTATGAATCGACATGCAACACAAAAAATGTCGTTTCTGTGTGGATAAATATCATAATTTTTTTATTAGAAAATAAAGTCAACAGGGATTGGCAAGGCAAGAGCAGTACAAAAAATCAGGATTAAGACAGGGTGTTTTTTCTTTCTTTTCTTTCATTCTTTGTTTAATCTTTCAGTTAAATATGAGGAAAGGCATGATTCATTTTTCCAAGTAATTATAACGTTAATAGATAAAATTGAGAATGGAAATGGGGAATGTGTCAAAGAGACAACAACCCGACCAAAGAGCAGAAAACAGCCCAAGGCCACCAATGGGTCTTCAACACAGCGAGAGAATCCCGCACCCGGAGGCGAGCTTCTGATGGCCCCTAAAAATGTGTACTAGTTCAGTGAAAATGAACGTCACACTAAACTCTGAAACATATTAATGAACTAAAATTTTTAAAAAACATACACGACTAACAAAGGACAGAGGCTCCCAAAAATGCGGCGGGGTTAAACATGTTTTGTGAGATCTCAACCCTGCCCCTATACCTCTAGCCAATGTAGAATAAAAAACACACACCAATACACACAGTAAAACTCAGTTTAAAAGAAGTCCGAGTCCGATGTCAGAATATGTAACAGAAGAAACTAAGCAAAATGAAAGTGATACATAAATTAACAAAGGACTTCTAGCAGTAACTGACATGCCAGCTCCATACCTCAGTTGAACTGATTGAAAGATTATGTCTTCATCATATGAAAATCAAGCACAATCCCTCCCGTTAGGGGTTTAGTATCATATCATCATAAAATATATGAGAAGAACATAACCCGTATCATGCCAACAACTGGTTTTAGAATAAATGTGTTTATTTCCGATTCAAAGACCCTATGCTTGAACCAATATTAATTCCAAAAAAATGACATCTTTAATGACCTAACAACAGTATCGTAACTATATCCCTTCTGTATAAATCTGTTTAAAGGTTTGGTTAGCTATTGAGGTGAATGACGACATTTTTGTGCTTTGTATAGAATATTACCATAAATGATTGGATGTGGAATACCTGAACGTATAAGATTTTGCATGTTGTTTTATATTTACGAATGATGTCCTTGTACCGATGAAAAAATTTAGTAAATGTTTTGACTAGTTTGTGATATCAAAAACCCTGGTGTAATAGACTTACACACACTTCATTTGAACTTTGATGGATAGTTGTCTCTTTGGCAATCATACCACATCTTCTTAGTTTTATGTTGATGATTTATATGCCATATTGTATTTACAACTGTCTATTGATAACTGTATGTTGCCTTCTAGATCTCTTTGGTTATTATTTGTTGTTTGATTGCTGTCTCATTGACACATACCCACATCACATTGCTCATATAAATAAGAAGATGTGGTATGAGTGCCAATGAGACAACTCTCCATCCAAGTCACAATGTATAAAAAATTAACATGTATAGGTCAAAGTACGGCCTTCAACACGGAGCCTTGGCTTTCACCGAACAGCAAGCTATAAAGGGCTCCAAAATAACAAGTGTAAAACAATTCAAACAGGAAAACCACCGGTCTAATCTATATATTCTTTAAGTCTTTTTTTGCCTTTTATACATTTGCACTTACCAAATGAAGAGAGCCCCATATAGGATGAATCGGACCAAGAGTTGTTATACTTTGTCGAAATGTTGCTGTTCGCCACTGTCTGTATTTTATAATAAATGCTCTGATTTTCCATAGTAGGTACGTAATGAAGATAACAAGTAAAGATCTGAATATGTAAGTGCTGAAAACCATTGCTGAAATTCAATGTAAAAAAAATCATGTATATGTAAGACCGCAAATATATATAAGAACCTTGAAATATAAAGAACTGGATCGAGTTGTCGAAAAAAAAAGCTACATTAGACTTTTGATTTTGATTTTTTATAATTGTTTATTTTCAAAAACTGAATATTTTCATTTCAACATAAAAATCAGAACAGCACTGATTTAGATGACAAAAGCATGAAAAGTTGATTTTAAAGTATAAAAAAATTCTATGGCTTCCTATATATATTTATCTTACCTCCTATAGATTTCTGGGGATATGATTGGTTAAAGGACTACACGTGGTGGCTACATATATATGATATAGGGTGTCCTAAAATACCATATGGGGTTAGTAACCATATGGGGTTAGTAAGGCGTTACTTCCCTTTCAAAACAAAAAAGAAATCTGAAAGGTTTCAACAGACGAAGAAATTGATAATGAACGATTGAAATAAATTCATAAAACAAATTTAAAGCTAACAAGTTGTTATTGTTGGCATTTATTTTTGTATAGACAAATGGAAGTAGGTTCTTAATACTAAGTATTGAAGACTTAATCACTTTGATAGGCCGCTAGTCTAAATACCACATGTGAAGATAGTCGGTAAGATAAATTCGTTACACGGTGTGCTAGTGACCTAATACGATATATATATATATATCGTATTAGGTCAATAACACACCATGTAACTATTAATATAGGTAATTTTATGTTTATATATGAAAGAATAAGAACATAGATAATGAACTTAAATAGTAAGGTCTTTCCTCACGTAGGGGAAAGACCTTAAAAAGGACTGGTGGTTGTCTTTATAAGCAAGTCGACTTTTTTTCATTTATTATTTTTTCTAAAGTTACTGTACTAACTTGTTTCCAAAAACTTTTTTTCTTAGTGTAATTGAATATATTTCGATAAAATGAGACACATCGTATCGGTCATATATGAAAAAAGTTAATGGATGAAATGAAGTCTTCCCTTTGTAACATTTGAAATATGCAAAAGTTAACGTAATTATGATACAAATGTAAAGATCGAATTTATGACAACTCTTTGTGTTATTGAAGTAACAGTAAATATATTTGAATCCGGACCGAAAGGTAAAGTATGACCAACGCAGTTCATTTGTAAAATATAGTCGATGTTACATCATCTTTTTTTTTTATCTTCTTTCAAATTCAATGAGTTAGAACTGACATATTCCCCTCTGTTACTTGTATTTGCTATGTTCTTGACTCAAGCACAAATTTAACCGTAATCTGTCATCATAAAATGTAGTGGCGGATTCGAAAATTGTCTGTATCACTAGGGAGACCTATCGTGATGTTCATGGCAAGTGAAGTTTCGGTGATAAATCGCATTCGGTAATGTCACAATCGAGCAAAACAGGACATGGAGTGCACGTGGATACAACAATTAGAAAATTTATGTTTTTGAAGTGATGATATAGTATTATTTTTCTTCTTATTTAACATGTGTAAAGATTTATAGTTAGTACAGGCGTGCTGCTTCAAGGAATTGGTCATGATCTAAACATTAAGTTTGTCAAATATCAGATCAGATAAACTAGATTCAGTGGGTAATAATTACAAAAGAGTAAATATTATATATATCGAAATCACAATTAATGACAAATAATTTCTTCAAAAATTCTGGAGGGGTCAGTCAAATGATATGCAGAATGGAAGAATAGAAGGGTTTTCAATATCAATCGTGAACTCTGTGGTGGTCTACATAAAATAAGGAGATGTTGTATGATTACCAATGAGACAACTATATCAAAACGAATCTAAATGAAGCGGATTTAAACAACTATAGGTCACCGTACGGCCACCAATAATGAGCAAAAACCCATACCGTATAGTCAGCGATAAAAGGTACCAACATGACAAGATGTGAAACAATTTAAACAAAAACAAAAAACAACGGCCTGCTTTAAGATTCCATAATTATTCCATTTTTTAATTTTCATTTAACAGTGTTATAAAACAATATTTGATTGTATTGTATTATATTTTTTTTGTCTCATACTTTTAACATATTTTTTTATAATATTAAATGTAATTGTTTAATTTTAACACTGTCGAGACGTACATATATATATTTAAATGAAAAAATCTGAATAAAAGTATAGACAATGAGGATTGAATATAGAAATGTGTAAATAGTGGTGGAGGAATATCGGTGGTGGAACTACTTTCCTCCATATGGAGGTGTGCATTGCTTGGCAGAATTACGTATACAGATACAGATATGACAAAATAATCATGAAACGAAAAACAAAAATACTACAAACAGCAACCAACGAAAGCCACTGAATTTTTTTGAACAGCCACATATAAAATGTTGCGGGTTGAACATGTCTGTGAATGCTTTCTATTGGTTTGTATCTAGCTCAGCTTTAATGACCCTAAACCTTCCTTTGAATTTGGTAGCAAATCCACATATCATTTAACATTTCCGTCGTGATAATGACATGAATGGTATACGCATTAGTTTTAAAAACTTGAAATTTCGGTTAAGTTGACCATGCAGGGAAGTTGACCTTTCGTGTTTTAAGCATTATAAATGACAGCTTACATTTGTCAAAATAATAAAAAAATCAACTTTATAGACAAAACATTAGGATCCGAACAAAGAGTCTATATAGGCCTACCTTTTTACCTGGCTACGCTAAATTCCTCCAGATATTTGCACAAGTTATAAATCATTGCTTTGTATAGTTGTGTTTTATCTGTTTATACATGTTATATTCAGATAAAACCAATTTATATTTAGATTTTAACCTTGATATTTATTATTTAGACAGCTGACAGACACAAACTTTTGTGTCTACAAATTGAAAGTATATATATCCTACGCATAGTTTATAAGTAGCCATTCATATCACTGGTGGGATAACAAACGCGTGGACCAATTAAACATACATGTACATAAGCGAATAATTTTGCTATATATTGTATTTCGTATATTTTATAAATGTACGCGTGGTAGAAATATACGCGGATCGATAATTTATTTGGCAACTATATAAAATGTACGCGTATATATGTTACAGTGAATTTGTATAATCAGGGATTATGAAGAATCCCTGATTTTTCAGGGATTATGCATATTATTACTCACTAAAATCATTAGTAATTATACATAATCCCTGAAAATTACCAGTGATTTTACATAATCACGGAAAATTTTAAGAATTAGTTTACAAATTCTCTGATATAATTTCAGGGATAATCAATAAATAAATCCAATAATACAAAGATCTTTTGTTTAATAAAAATAAATATAGACAAATAAATCATCTTTATTTCTGACCGTTATAATGTTTAATTGGGCAATTTTTATACCCTGTCCATTTATCTAAACTAAAAGGAACAGTTTTCCAGTGATATGGTATTTGACATAAACTCATAAACAAACACGTTTTTAAAATTGAAATTAATAATACCAACATTCTCAATAAAAGTGATAACTGCATATGTATTCCATGGATTTATTGCTTAGCAAAGTTATGCAACTAAACGTAAAGAAAAAACAAACAACACGCATGCTTGACAGACTCAAGGACGTGTAACTAACATATACGTCATTCCCTACCGTTATATCAGCTTCCTCAACATATCCATAAAACTCGTATCAAGTTAGCGCGTGCAGTGATGAGACATTATCAAGTGAGCAGGACTTTTCCCCCAACATATTGCCTTGTATTGTGATGGTGATAAGTCACCAAATAAATTCTTTTAATAAAACAAATTACACTTGCAGTACATATTTTTCGATGAACCATTTCTTTTTTCCTAAAATTACTTTACATTTTGAAACGAGATGTTGATAAAATGGTGTCGACCGCAGTCTTGGTAAGTTCTGCCAGGACTACTTTTTTTCAGAACTGAACTATTTGACCTAATTTGAACTCTTGATCTGACATGAATCGAGATCAATCTATCGATACAAATGTCAACAATGCGGGGGGGGGGGGGGGGGGGGGGGGTGGCAGTTTAAATGATTAAAAACAATTATAGTGAACATAAAATTCACAGTAAACCTAATTATAAAAATTGATTAATTAAATGTACATGTATTATACACTCTAGATTAAACATTTCATTTTAAATAATAAAATAGGAAACATTTGTCTACCACAATACAACAACCCTCTTTCTGACAAGTCTAAAGTACTTATTTCGTCTACTAAAACAAAACAAAACAAAACAAACATACAAAATGGTCACTGACAAAGATAATGCTTTTAAAGACCAATCAAACAGACATTTTTTTTACTTCAATTTGGGGGAAATTCAGCAAATGAAAGCTTAAGTCAAAGTAAAACTGATAATGATGCAATATGTGAATCAGAAAATGACACAAATGAACTCTTAAGTGAAATGGATAGCCCTTGTTGCACTTACTGGGACTTTTCAAAACCAAGATCTAGCGACCGGTATCAGAATCTCCCTGTAAACTTCCAATCCAATCAAATTACACAAAAACAGCAAGATGATAACGAACACTCAGACAATCAAGTTGAAGATATCGCAAAAAATCTAACCAAAAAAAAAA